AAATAAATAAGATCCCTTTTTTTTTTTTTTTTTTTAAGAAGAAGAAGGGAAAGAAAGAAACCTGTAACACACATGTTCAAACAGTAATGTAAGCAATCTTTTCAGGAGTGCAACGCAGTGTAAATAGGACTACCTGGCAGGCGAATGCAGTGGCAGCTCTAACGCGGCTCTCCAACTTTGTGATTTGCTAATGTGCAACACACGCACCCCTTTTGCACCAACTTCAAATAACCCTGCGATACCAGCAGTGCAGCTCAGCGACTGAACCAGAACAAGGGCAGAACTTGTCAGGATTTAAGAGCTTTCAGCAAAACCCTTCAATTGCAGCTGGTACCCTATTCCATAGAAGGATATCAATTATAGATAGTGACTTGCTTTAGCAGGGCAGTCGGTACTGTCAGACGCTAGATAGACAACCATGAAGAATCATGAATCTTAATGGTTTAACACCTTGCCTTTTGCTGTATGTATCATGAAAATTTAACCACGCTGAATTCTAAGTGGCACATATCGCTTGAAAATAAGAGCTCCTGCACCAAAATCATTGCAGTGTCAAACCCTTCTGGGTGGGTCAATAACGATTCTTTTATGTAGCTTTTCAGTTATTTATTCATAGCAGCCCAGGTTCTGTTCATAAATTCAGTCAGAAAACATTGTCTCTTGGGGCGTAAGCACACTTTCACTAGCGCCCACATTTTATACTAATAATAGCAGGACTTTGCTGCAGAAAGTAATGCAGAAAAATGCCATCAAATACTGACTATCATGCCCAAGAATGCAATTTCTGCTCTAAAGCTATACCACATATTCAGACACAGATTATGTTTGTATTTACCATTTCATACATGCTGTATCACGCATCCCATTGTAATGCAGATATTGCTAGAATCCGATTCACCTACAGTTGATTTTGAAGTAAATCGGGTCCCATCATTCCCAAAAAGATAATAAAGCTATCCTCATGTGACAGAAACACCAGAATATACACAAATTCATATTTACCTCTTTCAAAACACATGCATACTTGCTTGTGTATACACCCTATACATGATGGGAGTAATGACATCTATAATGTGAACTGTGTGCATTGTGTATTGTGGAAAAGCTCTCCTGAGCTCTGCTCAACCTGGTGCGACTAGAATTCATGCTGAGCTACCTAACCCTTTAGGAAACAAAACAAACAGCTAGAAACACACTTCCATCTTTTCCCTAAACACTGCAGTTCCTCTAAAATTCCAGTGCTTTGGGATGCAAGGCTTGGGTAACAGTCTGTTCTGTGCCATCGGATGTTTTGGGTCTGATATCTTACTATTATGTATGGCTACAAACAGTGGCTTTATTCCCCTGAAAAAAAAAAAACAGATTCATTAAAAGACTTACTGCTAGCCTGCATAGATCCTGAAAATTTAGCTTTATCAGGATGTACAAGAATGCTTTTTAGGTCTTTTTTTCTGAAACTTTGCATTTTACAGACTTCCTCTTCCCAGCTGAACTTCCAAAGCCCTGGGAACTGGTTTAGAGAATTGTACAGGGAAAGAATACTCTAAATACTTCCAAGTCAAATATACAAATGCATTTTCCTTTCTACTGAATATATGCTACATACCACGTACTCAATGAAGTGGGTGACAGGGAACGGGTTTCTTTCAATCCTTTGTGAAGGTCTACATAGCTCACTCTTAGCTTCGCTATACAGTTCACTTGACTACCCATACTATGGGCAAGTAGGTGTGTGTACACAATACGATGTAGTATCACATGTGTAGTGCTGTATCACACCCACCCAACTTCTGAGCATGTGACTGTAGCTCTCTGCCCATGTTAACCATCCTTTCTGAGTGTCAGAGAATATAGGGAAGCCGGCAGATGTCATCTGGATGAGTCTTGCTAGGGCAATTTAAGCCTTTATTGTCTTTATCTATGCCAGTTGCCCTTGCCTTGATGATTACTACCCCACAGTAGATTCAACAAAACAGGATGGTTATCTGTACTTTTGATGTCCCAGATGGCAGACCAGTGTCTGACTTCAGACCCCCCCTTCAAACTTGGCTGGAGCAACTGAGGCTCTGCTGAGTCTGCCAGTGGGTTGGGAATCACCTGCAAAGCAGCAGCACGTGCAGCCAGGGGAGGCAACGTGGCAGAGCTCTGCCGCAAGATTTGAAGGTTGGTATCTATTATCCTGCAAATCCCTGACCTTCCTGGGAAGCATAGCGTGATCCTAGCTACACGCCTACCCGTCTACAAGCTAGCTCAGGTACCTCCAGACAGCACCAAACAGCCCAATCTACATGTCTCCGGAGTCACAGGGTGAAGACCTCATGCCCTTATCAGGGGCCATTCCTTCTCTTGTGTTTGAGCAGCATCTAGCACCACAGGACTCTGGGCTTGATGAGGCCTCCAGCTGCTACTGCAGTGTAAATATTACCGAGTAAAGGATGTACTCACGCCACTGAGACACATACTCTCTCTGCCTAGTTCAGGTGCAGACTTGAACATGCCAAGTCAGGAACTCATCCAATGCAAAGACACTGAGGTAAGTGCAAATTACGGCAATTTGTATCTACTCGGATTTAATCACAAGTATTTGGGTAGGAGGCATACATGAGCCACAGCAGTGGGGAGATTTTCAAGGGCTGAACTGCTACTCAGGGACTTAACGCTTTCTGCCGGAGTCACACACCTAAGCAAAACCAGGGCTGCCCTCCCGTGAAGCCCTACCAAGGCCTGGACTTCATTTCCCTAGTTGCTGCAGGTGTACATCAGAGGGCTGTAGCAATCAAGGGCAGACAAAATGCGGGAGAGACAGACCGTGGTGAAGGGCCAGACTTTCAAACAGAGTTAGATGTCTAAAGCCCTTTGCAATTCCGGACAGAAATAACTTGCTTAAGTCCCCACAGCAGGGCTCTGTCGGAGCAGCAAAAGAAATCACAAACCAGGGCCCCATCACTGAGTCATGCTGACTCTTAAAGCGTGATTTGTGCTACTTGAATGTGATGGTTGCGATGATGATGATTTTATTGTCTTCAGGGTATCGAGTCAGGACTTGCACCTCGTAATCTTAAATGCCATCATAACATAGCTGAATCCTGAGCCCTGCCAAAAAGAACTCCTTGTATCATAGAAACATTTTTTATCTGCCTTCTTTATGTCTAGAGAAACCCATTTGAGATGTTGCCATCATGCAGAAACATAAGAAATACACTTTTTTCAGGAGTCTTGCTATTGACCCTTATTAGTACAGTCAGATTCGCTACAAAAATCACACCAGAAACAACAAATGCATTTAAAAAAAAAACAACTAACCAAACTATCACACTGTCAATTTAATTCACCTGAAACTACAAGACATTAGCTATTAGCTAACAGGCACAGTGGCATTCAATTAAATTTTATGTCTGAAACTTCAGAAAAACCTCTTCCTTTTTTTCATTATCAAGAGCACCTTTATTCTGAATTTCACTTTTATTTCATATATTTTGGTGTAAATTATTTATCATCATCACTGGGATCATTTCTGAATATTGAGAAAGGTTTGCCAGGCATCATAAAGCTCTAGCCTTACAACTATTAGCAGATATAAAGACTGTGCCTGTGCAGAGCCCCAGATGATGCCAGTTGGTCTCTTTGCATGGAATCAATTGCAAGACCGACACTTGATCTTTTAAATGTGTCCAACCCTTTGCAGCAGCCATTCGTATAGCATTTCTTCCCAAAAAGATATTACGATATTGAAAGAGTCTCTCCTCACATTTCATCTTGGCCTATTAAGATGCTAGGGTATTTTTTGTGCAAAATGTGTCCAAAGGATTATTAAAAAATGGCACATTTTTGCCATTATTTTAGTTTGTGATAGTCTTTCCTTTATTATTATTGTTATTGTTTCTGTTACTACTACCACCTAATAATAACAAGAAACTGAAAATACATCTTGATAAATAACTGCAACACCAAGAGACTCTCACACTCCAAGGAGTAAAAGCTGGCATTGCTTTACTAAAGTTAGCTTTGCAGCATCAGTTTACCATTTTGAATAGTGTTTGGAAATACGTGGTGGGTTTTTTTAATTTATTTTGGGTGGAAAAGTACATTTTTCAACAAGCTATTTCAGTAGTATTGGCCATATTATGCAATAGATTTTGCATGATCTCCAGGAAAGTATTAAACAGGTTTCTCCAATAAATAGGATTCTGACACACTGATCATTTGCTGAAGATGTTCTTCTCTAATATGTACTAGGAATTCTTTTTTTTGCAGAGTATTTAGATATGTTCTGTGATGCCAGTAATCAAGAGAGGTGCTGCTAGCTAAGGAGGTTGGAAATGGAAATATAACCTGTACTTGCCAGGTTATATTCTAGATTTTGATCATTCATTTTCTAGCTTACAATACTACAAAATAGTAAAAATCATTTATTTTGGAGAAGTGGTAGAGAGGAAGAAAAAACAAGGCAGACACGACTAATATTTGGTGTAGCATAAATAAGACCATCCAGTTCACTTTCGCTAAAAAGACTGAAATAGCTCAGTCTCCATGTATTTAGCCAAATAACCCACTTCAGTTTACACACAACAGTAAATTAATACCCAAAACCCCCTTAGGGGAGGGGAAGAATTCCCCTTGCCCATTTCTACTGTTACAGTTCCTTTTGGGAGAAAAAAAATCAAACTTGGCTAAAGGTTAATAATAATTCATGTTCAGCTTACTATTACTCAATAACTATCAAAGTCTCTAACTCAAAATAGCGTTTGCTGGCTTACAGGATCAGAGCCATTACAATCTCTATTGAAGACTTTATTGAATTTTACACTAAGCTTTAGCTGACTGAACAGGTCAAGCACTGTGGCTCCGAGTTTTCTTTATTCTCAGAAACTCACAAACCCCTCTCCAGTTTGCAGCGCTGTTAGCTAAGAAACTTGACTCAGCACAGGGTCAGAGAACCTGACCCCCATGAAAAAGGTCACGTAGTTTTAAAACCCAGTTCCTGAATACCATTAACTCACATGCACTAGCTGTTCCTGCGTGTCAAACTCCCGGGAACAGCCTTCCCAGTGGCAGTTTGTCTCGTAGACCACTTCAGGCTCCTGTTTGCTTTCATCTTTGTCCCCTTCCTCTTTTACCAGGGTCATTCCCTCTGGCTGTTCCTGGAGAGAGGAAAAAAACAGGGGTGAGGAGAGGAGAGAGGAAATTCTGACACTGAGGAGGAAGACAAGCGAATTATTTCAGCATTAAAAGAAAGATGGGAGTGGGTGTGTAGATTATTTTACTCTCAGTTCACTCTGTTACTCAGTTCTACAAAATATAGAAGCCCAAAACAGGCCTGGTAAGCCAGAAGCCATCTGCAGACTATACGCGTAAAATGATTTTTTCCTCCCCAGAAGTACTCACTGCAGAGAATTTCTAAAAAAAAAAATCCCTTTACATTTCAATTCAAAGCAAATCGTAAAGGCTTGGCTTCCCTCTCTCCATATTTAAGCAGCTCTTTATTTGCACACTTACCCCTTATTATTCAGTGGCATCACTAGTGAAAAAGGCACTAGTCAATATCGTTGAATTAATTGGAATTTGACTTTAGTACTACTGTTAGACACAAAATGGATCACCAGTAATCCAAAGTGTGTTTTCATTGTTAATCCAGTGACTATTTTGCACACAGAAACTTTTCCAAAAACAATTTTGGTAATTTGGTAATTTTCAGGCTGTTAGCCTGTTCTTGCCTGTAATGTGTGCGTGAAAGGGGTGAGCAGGAGAAGAGAGTATTTAATTTTGGGTTTTGACTTTCCACCTTCAGTTCCTCAAGGTGCCTCATTCTCCCCAGCTTGTTATGTGCTCAGGGTAAGGGTCAGATGTTAGCGTAAACATGTGGTTCAGATTAAGCACTCACGCTCTTTCCATTTCAAACCTACCGAAGGATTTAGATGGACCTCTGCTTTGTTTTCGTGGATTCACTCACAAGATCAAGGCTCTGATTCTCACCTCCCCTGAGCCACTCTAAATCAGGAGTCGCTCTACTAAAACCAGTGGCATTAACTGGTATAGAAAGTATAGCAAATGAGACTGGAGCCTGACACTGAGGCCTCGATGCAGTACAGTGCTAAGACCTGGTAAAAGTCAACGTGGCGTAAATATTCTTGCTGAACAGAAAATGCGTCCTCAATAAAGACCTGAACGTCTCTGGTTTGCTTTTCCACAGCGAACAGAGGGTTGAGCACTCTCTGAATGATCAGAAGTGCCTCTCCATCGGCCTCCTTCCTCTGTCCTCATTCTGCAACACAGCCCTGTAACCCAGCAGCCCCTCACTACCCATGTTTAACCCTTGCTACCATGAGCTGAGCCCACCCGTGTGTGCACTAGATGAAGGGCCGTACGAGGGCAGAAAGCCTGAAAACATGTCCTACAGGCGAGGTCCATTTTCCCTCTGGCAGCGGGATGAAAGGCTTATGACTGTAACCTGACCGCCATACCTGCACGCTTCCTGCTCCCGGGCTGGGGAGGTCCTCATCGGGCTTTATCTTGGAGCGCTTGTTGTGCATGGGATCTCCAGTGCTGCTCACTGCAGATTCGCTTGTGGGTTTATTCTGCTGCAGGCAGGGTTTTTTTTCCCCCAAAAAAGACAAAATTAGACTGTGATAAATATGTAGCTGCAAACAGAAATATGCAGCATCTGCTCAGCAACTTTATTTGTAGAAGCTACACTGTTAATTATATTGGATATGCAATTACATCGTGCTTCAATTACATAGGATTAACTTGTGGAAGAGCTGCATCACTCCACTTTGTAATGGAGCAGGGAGGGAACAGGAAGGAGGGCATTTGATGTAATTCCTTGCTACAAACCAATGTTGGTTTTGTTAGGCCAGGGAGGGGTAGGAAGAACTCGATTTTCCGCATAATGATGACTTCAGAAAGGCAATTTTGAAAAATGAAATCACTGTGCACTAGTTCGAATCAACATGAGAAAAAGATGTATTTTTTCACACTTGGAGGAGAGGTTTTGCACTTAACATCTGCACACAAGACCTCAGCTCTTTTTCTGTGTTTCCCATTATAAAGGTGGATAGGAAGAAAAACTGAACACTAGCATGAAACCCTCAGCTAAAAAATCCTAGATGTAGTCCTGGATTCTGCCATCAGTAGCAAAACGACTGCTGACATAAACAGGCCAGAATCTTGTTTTTCTCTTGCTGTGCTAGACTGAACACCATTATCTACACCTGCAAATGGATCTTGTAGGAATCCAGAGATCTTTTAGAGATACCTGAACTTGCATGGACCCCACAAAAAATCAATATGCTTCCTACAGCAGTATGTTCTGCTTCTACATTTGTAAAAGCTAGCCAGGAGATAAACAGCTCCCCGACTGATAAATAACCTATCCCAGGTCATCTGGAAACAAACAGCACTAGTTAATAACAGGCAAACCACGAATTGTGATAAACTCCACATTATGGGCCTGATTCACTGCTGAACATCTCCAGCTTTTGAGAATACAACTTCGTTTATCAAAATGATTAATTCAAACTCACTAGAAGTCCAATTTTGCACAAATCAGAGAAAAAACCTTCAAACCTCTGCACTATCTTTGAGTTCCTCTGTTGCTCACAGATTGAATTACTCACTTTGATTTACTCACACCTATGTCAGGAGGGCAGAATCTGACCCTGTGTATATTGTAGTCAGCCTGATTTGGAGGTGAAGCTGCTAATCTTTAAAATGTTAGTGTTTTGATGTGGTTTTCCCCCCTTTTCTTGCTCCCCACCTGTATTATGTTCCTGTATAAGATCCAGGAGAGACAGTTTGGAATGAGAAGCTGCTGCGCCACACTGAAATATTTATGAGGACTAAAAAGCACGCTACCAATCAGGAACCACGCATACACTCCTATGATTTATAATAAAGGGACTGCAAATGCTATAGCTGCAAGAAAACTGTTATCAAAGGGTCTCTGTGACAGTGGTGATTAATTGCCATAAAGACAATGTAATTTGTTTCATTTTTTCATAAATTAATGGGGTGCAAAGGTTTCTTTTGTTGTCTCTCACCTGTGTGGACTCAGAAGGTCCAGAGCTGACCTGGACAGGGTTCAGGACACTGGGGATGCCAGGGATAGGTCTCTGGGTAGGAAAAGTTGGAGCAGGATGGATGAGTGGAGGGCTGTGTCCAAAGGCTGAACCTAGGGTTTGCTGACGACTTATAATTTGCTGATGCATTTGCTGGAGGGATACTGGCGTAGGAGGGTATGTGAAACTCAGAGCAGGGCTGAATTTGGGAGAAAAAGGAGGGAAGAGGAAGGAAAAAGATAAGGGTCATTACAGTATGGAACCGCACAGACTAAACAGTGAAAATATATTTGATATATTTACATTAATTGAAGTCAAGTCTCTCCCTCCCCCTCATGTCTTTCTTCATGCCCCAAAGGATGATAAATCCTGCTTTTAAATCTAGAGATGGCCTGGATTTACTAGTGAGTGCAAAAATGATACCGTAACAAAACATAACATTTTTTCCTAACATTTACCAGGAAATCACAGAGAGCCGACCGAAATAAAATTCAGAAAAACTGAAATAAAAGGCAAGCAGTTCAATAACAGCTATTTATTGCAATAACAAACTTTATATAAAGAAAAAGAATGGGTGCCTACATGCTTTATAGTACTTTTATTGATAATGCAGTTCCCCTATGTTCGCGTGTGTGAAGCAGTTCCTTTAATCTTGGCTCGTGCTACGCTCTTTCATACGTCTCTAGATCTTATTACAAGAGGAGAGAAAAATCAATTGGTTAAATGTGTTCTGAACACTATGCTTGTCATATCACTCATTTGTTTGCAAAGATGGAAAGCTCAGTTCATCCAGAATGTCACCTAAAGAATTTCCATCAGTGCCGTTTGGTTACAGAAACTGATGGATTAACCTTTCCCCTCTGAAATTGGTGATCAATGAGTTTCAATGTAGAAATATTCCAATGGGAAAGCACTTCTCCTTCTTCCAGTTAAACAACATTAAATGTCTATTAAAGCCCATTATGCATGTTAATACCTGTCATCACTTCATTACTTCACCGTATTTCCCAGACTTCAGTGACTTTGGAGGAAATTACACTGCCATCTAAGGACCTATTTTGTGGGTAGTGCCAAAGCATTCTTTGTGTCACACTCGAGAAATAAATGGTGTGGAACTTCACACACAGGAATATGAAATTCTCCTGTAAACATTTGCCAATAACTTACAATCATAGGGGAAAAAAAAAAAAGAACAAAAAGTGTATTAATTGAATTTTTTTTCCTTAAAAAACCCTGAAATAACCATAGTTCAAAAGAGCCACAGAAATTTAAAACATTAGGTCTTAAAAGAGAGGGGTGCAGGCATAATACCTTTTAAGAATCAAGGCTTCTTCTAATGTCAAAAGGGTGGATTTAATCCAAATTTACAGTCTGGAGTCTTAATTGCTGTTGCTGTTAAGTGCATTAACTGAAAATACTGTGATACAAAAAGAGCTAAAATCATTTCAACCATTTTAAGTAATAATTCTACAGAAATTCTGTGTTCATTAATCTGACTATATATTTTGTCTGTTTGACTACAGTCCATAAAGAGACAGCTTCAATGTGATTACATTACTATTATTCCTGGTGAGAACTCTGCATTACAATTGTTTGCCCATTTAGGACAGAATATCATTAAGAATACCCTGGGAGAATTTTACTGGTCTTTGAGGAACTCTCTTTTCATTTTGCATTGTATTCTTTTTCATAAAGGGAGGCAGAAACGTAGTGAAAACAGTAATTGTTCACAGCAAGAGTTAGGGAGAAATCAGTAATAATATTCAGTTATTGCAGCTCTATAGTCCCTGCCAGTGTTCCTGTAAGCAACCATGAATGATTACAGCACGATTTAGCTAAGGTAGCCACTATGGATGATTGATAGGACATTAATCAAAAGATGCATATCAGGCTCAGAATTTGTTCACAAGCTTTCTTCTAATAGCTGATTTCATGTTCACTGAGCTCTATGCCAGTTTGTTCAATTTATTCTTCAGTGTACAAGCCATTCATCAAAGAACACAATGATTTAACACCCCTTTTCCTTTTTAGTGAACAAACATTACTAGTGTAACTACTCTGGTCTGTTCATTAAAAAACATAAAATTACAATGTCATACATGAGGCTAAAACAATGCCTCCTTACTACACCCCAGCATTTTTTGCTCCTATATATACACTGTGAGTTCACCTCATGTACTTCAAACACTAGACGGCACCATCCTCAAGATGCTATCAAATTCACCACGATCAACAAATGCACCATACAAACAATTTGGATGAAGTACTTTATTTCTCTGTGAGTGGTTAATGCCTAGGACATCTTCACCCATCAGCTGAATCAGTTTAAAAGAAAAAAATACGTGGACTGATGTCATTGGGAGCTCCAAGTATCTAGCACCCTTGGAAATACAGGGCAGTTGGGGTTTTTTTCCTTTCTAGGTGTTTATGCATGCACAACAATACCTAGCTTTGCAAGTCCAGGTTCAAAACTTTGGCAATATTCTTCAGATCGTACACGGTAAAAAGACAAACCTACGATTCAGCCACAAGACATGACCAACCTAAGACCTCAGCTCAGAGATGTAGATCCTGCTCATCACTGCTCTGTGACTACAGTTACATGAGCACCTGCATCTAACATTAATTTTTTAACCTATCCAAAGCAAGAGGACAGGAGATCCCTCTCAAACAGTGCAGGAGGGGCAGGAGGGAACTGCTGTAATCTGAATATATTTTTATCTCAGTAGGAGATTGTTAAGGTGCCAGTGACCAGAGACTCAGGAAGCTGGATGCTGAAAAGGAACCTTTGGCCCCAAGTAGGAAATAGACTGTAGAATCCCCAAGATCTATACGTACAACTTGCACTTAATGCACCTCACTTGTATTTACTGGAGTTTGGCAATATTCTCCACTCAGTCCCTCCAAAAATGGGAAAAGACTGCGTGTCAATAGGGCATTTTTGGTCAAACATCCTTCCTTCGCATTCTTTATGTCATGTAGAGCAACACAAAAAGTGATGATGCCTCCCCAGTGGCAAAATACCTTTCTAACTAAAGGACAAAAGCAGCTCTGCTTTAACAAATACAGAAGCTAGTTTCACTGGCCTGCAGTGACGCACCTTATACCAGTACAGTGCAGGTGCTTACATATTAAGTAAGTATATTTGCTATTCCCCTCCCTATATAAATAAAAATGGCTTCCATCACAAGGACAGATTTCACCTCATAGAGATGGCCTCTTTATCTACATCTGCTTTAACACCATAGGAGCCTCCAGAAGGACGATGCTAAGCCAGGCATTGCCAACGTTTGCCCAACTTGCAAGCAAGCAAAATTGCAAGGTACAGCAGAGGAGACAGACATAATCTTAGCTAGTGGCTCTTACTGGAAAATAATGACACCAGCAGCAGATGCATTAAGACACAGCTGGACAGATATGCTAAGGAAAGGAGGAATCCTATTTCTTTAGTATCTTTCTTTTGCCCCGTGCTCAGCAGCAAAGGTTGAGTCTGAGGTACTAGGATTTTCCTACGGAGCCTGGCAACCTGCACTTCATTCCCTCTACCTCCAAACATCTCAGACTGAAATGAAAAGGAGATTGTGAGGGAGCAGAGGAACAGCCAGCACAGCTAAGGGGAGTACTCAGAAATGGTGACAATGGTTCAGCCACTAGGGTGATTTCTTAAATAGCTCAGATAGCTGCCTTCAAATAATTCTTTCCAGCTGTTTCTAGAGAGCTCTTCATAAGGCAAGATGACCTGGCTGGGTTTAACGTCACCTTCATGCAAGATGCTGTCACAGGGCAGCCTGGACGATTTTTCTGATCTGAAAAGATCACAAGGATCTGAAGAGAACAGAAGGTGGCAGGTCTTTCTCTGCCTTTCAGAAACCATTCAGGCTGCTCGACAATAAATTTGATGTTGTGGGCCAAAAAGAAGAAAAAGAAATCAAAGCTCGCAACGGTGCTGGCACAGAGTGCTCTGTTGGGAAGGGGAGACCTGGATTCCTGCCCTCCTTCCCAAAGTTTTTAATGCACTTTGTTCAATAACTCTTGAATACAGGATGTGTGAAGCACCCCCGTAGCCCAGAGTCCCCTCAGACCCCATGGGATTCCTCTGCCTTGACTGGCA